TTTCTCAGATAGTTTTCTCAGCTCCTCCTCAGTTATGTCAGAAGGAAGATTTGCCCACAAAGAGATGGCCTTATTGGGTGAAGGTCTTCTCTCCTGGTTTCCTAAAATTCTTCAGGTCAACCGTCAAGCCTTCATTTTGGCAACCTGTTGCCCATTTGCGGATCTGGGCAGCGGCAAAGGCGGCTGGTGTTGCTGGTGGTGGTGATGATAATGGTGCTTTCATGGAGTATGGTTTTGCTCTTCCAATTAAAAGTTTATTGCTCTGCATTTTTGTACTCTCAACTTCAACTGAAGACAGCAAAGTGCCTTGCAATCCTCTCTAACCTCAACTCTGGTCTCTCCGCAGATTAATGGTGACTTAATTTGCTATTAGTCTGTTCAAATTTTCTGTTTCTTCATGATTCAATCTTGGTGGGTTGTATTTGTCTGGGAATTTATCCACTTCTAGGTAATCCAATTTGTTGGCATATAATTGCTCCTAATAGGTTCTTACAATCCTTTGTATTAAAAAAAGATTTTCATTTTCTGCCTTCCTAACTTCTTTCCTGCCTGTCTCCCTCCCTTCATGAAAAATTCAGGACAAAGGCCATTTGTTCATTCTGTGCACCATACAGGTAGATGTTGCCAGAAAGGCAGTGGTGGTGGCTCAGGGTGGCAATACAGTGTAGAGCCTGAGGAAACCATCTGATGTCATAGGGAGAGGGGCTATGAATAACGAAGCAGCAAAAGAGACAGGTTATCTTTGAGGACTGAGGCTAATGGGAGCACATTTCTTACTGTCAAAGAAGAGAATAACAAATATGGAAAGAGAGAAAACTAGAATTAGGTTGGAATAATGTCATATTATATAATATTGGTACAAACTCCTATAGCTTTAAGTACATGTAGATACAGAGGGAAATAGGTGAATGTGTGGTATGGTGTGTGTTTCATATTTGTTCCTTACTCTGTTCCATGACAGACTTGGGAGCAGCAATGCCACCATAGCATTGAGCACATGTAGTGCCCAGATCTTGGTTTCTAAATACGATTTTCCAGTGAAAGAGACTTAATCTTAGAAAAATAGCCCATTCTAGGGATAGTACAGAGGAAACACAAAGATGAGCATGGAATGTCTTTTTATATTAGCAAGTAAGAACATGCTCAAAAAACGAAGGGGCCGTGTCTGTCAAAAGGACACCAAAGCCAGCTTGAAGAGGCTCCTACTGGTCAAATCCATTAGAAATCAAACTAAATATCATTAACAACAAATGACAACCCATCAAACAAAATAAGTCACAAGTCCACAGCAATATAAATAAATGAAGTAAACTGGAGAGAAGGGAAAGCTGTTTTAGTGGAATGCCAGCCAATAAATGTAAAAGGAATTATGGAATTAGAAAATCTATTTGGCAATAATTGTGGTAATAATTGGTTCAAATGAAAATCTTTAATGGATGCTAAAACTAGCGAGTGAAAGTTTGATGATCTGTCTACAAGATACTTATTAATCACAAAGAGAAAAAAATAGCACCTAAAAAGTGGAACAGCCTGGTAGATAATACTTTTCTTTTTTTGGGGGGGGGGTTGGAGTTTCACTCCATTGCCCAGGCTGGAGTGCAGTGGCACACTCATGGCCACCCCAGCATTGACCTGCTGGGCTCCTGCGATCCTTCTGCCTCAGCCTTCTAAGTAGCTGGAACTACAGGCGTGGGCTAACAGGCCTGGCTAATTTTTTATTTATTGTAGAGACGAGGTCTCGCCAAGTTGCCCAGGCTGGTCTTGAACCGGTGGGCTCAGGCAATCCACTCATCTCAGCCTCCCAAAGTGCTGGGATTACAGACTGAGCCACCAAGCCCAGCCAATAGATAATACTTTAATCAATTGATCAAAGTCAAATCATCAGTCACTGAACAAATCAAAACTGTGTGACTCCTGATAAGATGCAAGAGAAGTGTTCTATAGTACACTTGCCAAAAAGGTACAACCTGAATATAATAATAAGGAAACATCAGGCAAACCTAAACTGAGGAACAGTCTACAAAATAACTGACCTGAAATCTTCAAAAATGGTAAAAAATGAAAACAAAGGAAAGACAAACTGTTTCAGATTGGTGGAGACTAAAGAGATATAACAGCTGGGGATGGTGGCTTACACCTATAATCCCAGCACTTTGGGAGGCCAAGGCAGGAGGATTGTTTGAGGCCAGGGGTTTAAGACCAACCTAGACAACACAGTGAGACCACATCTCTACAAAAAATAAAAAAAAATTAGACGGGTGTGGTAGCATATGCTTGTAGTCGCAGCTACTTGGGAGGCTGAGGTGGAAAGATCACTTGAGCCCAGGAGGTCGAGGCTGCAGTGGACTGTCATCATGTCACTGCACTCCAGTGGGCCACACAGTGAGACTCTGACTGAAAGAAAAAAAAAAACTCTGCAAAGTGTGAGCACTTGACTATGTAGGATCCTGGCAGGTGAAACGAATGGAGACTATGGATTAGGTAGTAATACATCAGTGTTAACCTCCTCATTTTGATGGTTGCATTGTAGTTAAGTTAAAGAATGTCCTCATTTGTAGGAATTACACACTAATGCCTTTGGGATCATGAGGCAACATTGACTTAATGGTTCAGGGAAAAAGTTCTTTGTACATTTCTTGCAACTTTTCTGTAAGTTTGAAATTATTTCAAAATGAAAAATAGAGTCATGAAAATAATATTTTTTTCATAATAAAAAGGATACCATTTTTAGTCCAAGTGTGGTGGCTCATGCCTATAATCCCAACACTTTGGGAGGCCAAGACAATAGGATTACTTGAAGCCAGGAGTTCACGACCAACCTGGGCAACATAGTAAGATCCCATCTCCACAAGAAAAAAATTTTTTAATTACCTGGGTGAGATGCCATGTGCCGACAGTCCTATCTACTCCAAAGACTGAATTAGGAGGATCACTTGAGCCCAGGAGTTCAAGGTTACAGTGACCTATGACTGCACCACTGCACTCCTGGGCGTCAGAGCAAGATCCTGTCTCAGAAAAAAAAAAGGAGGGGGGTACCACTTTTAAAAACTCAGAAAAGTTACATCAAAGGTTATTCTCTTATGTGGACTTAAAAAACAAAGAATAATTAGCTCCAAAAGAAAGATCTGCCAAAGTAAGTTGTTTTTCTCTTACAAAATGGAAATTTAACTTCTAAATTTACTTCACATAACTTGCAAATGTAACCAGTTATCTTACTTGGAAATTTTTCACTTTACCAGCTTAATTTCTCGATATTTCCAGGTATTCAGAGTTGATGGTTTTCCTAAAATAAACCACAGACTATATCTGGGATAAAGAAGTACTAAGAAGTACAAGGAGCTCTTTCTCTAAGTGCTACGAAAAAGACTTCTAATTTAAACAAAGGTTTAAAAAAAATCATAAAACTAATTTAAAAATAGTTTTATATAGGCAAAAGGGAATTATAATTCTCTCATTACTTAATGTTCCTAGTTCTGCCTAAAACAAAAACCTACATTAATTTTTTTTAAAACCTTTGTCTCAAAATTATATGAACACTTGGAGTAACAATTTACAGCTAATGTTTACTCTTCACTTGAAATTTTGCATAATCTCAGGAATAGAAATTTAAGAAATAGAAGTCTTCTAGTTTCAATTTGCCAAGAAGGTTCTTCGTTCTTACATCTTGCAGGTCCACTAGATTCAAAGCCGAGCCGAAAGAAACATGCACAGGGCTGTCTTCTATATTTTTAAAATCTCTTTTGTAGTATAATTTCCCAGAAACTGAGAAACAACCACACAGAACTTCTTACCTTTTTATCAGAAGTTTATTTGTTACCTCTTTCTCATTTTCTGGCATTGAAAACAGTGAAATAAATTTGCTGTTATTTGCATGTGAAACACATGGTAAAGCAGTAGGCTGACTTCATGTCCATTAAACCATTTTCCTCATATCTAAAGTGAATCTTATTATCTATGATTTATGTTTAATATAGAGATGGGAAACAGTGAGCAAACCAGTACTATCCAAGTCACATATATTCTAACAAATGCTCAAACAGGTGATGGAAATTATACTTCAGTTTGAAAATGTCATGAGGTTCCCTTCTGAAACTCTTCTTTTAATGACCCAATCACTTTCTTTAGGTTTATCTTATTTAATTTTTTTCCTCTCATAATACCAACTGATGATTAACTCTTTGACAAATGGTAATTGTATGAGTTTGTATGAATTATACTTGGTCTATTTTTTGGTAAGCCCTTTGATTTGGTATCTAAATTCTGAAAATCAACTCTCACGATTACATGAATTTAAATGGCATCCTTAGGGGTCTCATTCACACAGTAATTGTTCAATAAGAGAGAACAAGAAACTCCAGTTCTAGTCCTTGATGTGGAAGTAACTAGCAATTTTAGATAAGTCATTTAAATTCTATTCTTTGGTTTCCATATGTATAAAATGGAGACAACATCCTATCTATCTTGAAAAGTTATTATTAATACATTTGTAATTGGATAATATATTGAAGTATTCTGAAATAATATCAGTTTACCTACATTTAGCAATCTCAAATTCTTAGCCCTGGGATTGAAATTATTGAAGGCACTTGTTTCTCTTTAGTTAAAAGATTTATGAAAGTCTCTTACCATGTTATGCCTCAATTTCTAAGGTTTCACTTTCCCTCCACAGGAAAAATGTATTGACAATTATAGATTGTCAAAATGGTAACTTGAGGTCATTAAGGTTTGTGACAAGTCACACTCAAAAGTATTTCTATTGGTAATAGCTTGGCTGAGGTTTACTTGGAAAAATATTGATGATGTAAGATTTGCATGTGATATCTTAGGATATTATGCTGCATAAATCTAGATATTACTTTTATTCAGATAATTTTAAAAATTTAGAACATGATTTTTTTTTTTCTTTATTTTCAATTTTGTTCTAAAAAGAGATGGGGTCTCACTATGTTGCCAGGCTAGTCTCAAAGTCCTGTCCTCAAGTGATCCTCCCACCTCGGCCTCCCAAAGTGCTGGGATTACAGGCATAAGCCACCACGCCCAGCCAAGAACATGATTTTAAAGGTGTTCGTCTCTTGTGGAGGGAAATCTTGCTAAAAGAAATTATAGCTTCTCAGATTAATAGAGAATGTGTCCTGCCCATGTACCTCTCTAAATGAAAGAATTAAAGAGAATGGTTTCCTTATTTATAGTTTGGTCTGTAGGGGTGAGAGAGGGAATGAGAAAAATAACAAGACACCCTTGGAACAATTTAACACAAAATATACACATATATAGATCCTGAGATGTTACAACAAATTAAAAAATATATAGATCAACATGATCCAAATGGTTTCCAAGACACCGTTATGGTGGGTAAACAGCCATTTCTACAGCGTATGCTCCACGGACGTCTCCATCATGCCAGGAAAACCCTACTCTTGGTCTCCAAGTTTGAAAGCTAGTCATCCAGTGCAGGTGGCCAGTCAACATCTACAGACTAAAAGGAAGAAAACAAGTCATTAAAACAGATATTAACACTCTGGGAGGCATTGGCAGGTAATGCTGTATACATTTAACGGTTTTCATATAATGCAACAAAAGAAATTGCATTAGGAAGAAAAGAGCTATGGAATACCACTCAAGTTCATTAATACTCTCAAATCCATTCTAGGAATTCTTGAGCCTAAGAGCTTCTGAATTAACTGAGTTGCAGTATTTGGTTACTCAACTGGTTATTAATTGTGACTTTTGACTGATAGAGAATACATTTCAATTTTTAAAATGTTATTTATGGGTAAAGTAACTAACACATTCAGGTGGCTACATAAATTTTCCTTTAGAAGCCTCAGAAACTTTTATTCTGATAATTTTTACTCTCCCACCTGGCTTTTAACAAATATTCAAATAGTCTATAAACCTCAAGACTCAAATACTCTTGTTTGTAACTTAGCAACTAAATGTGAAATAAATGATTACGAAAGATCACCTGGAACTAGAAAAGGATTAAGAATCTTTGCATTTCACTTCAGCAAAATTTTTGTTTCTTTAAAAATCTCATTCATCTACCTCCACTTACCTTCATTTTACCCTTCCAGAACAAAGCCTTGATCTTTGAGTCACAATGAAATTACAGTAATAAGCAGACTATTTTTTCTTCACATAAACACACACCAGGTCTATCGAAGCACACCTTATGTGTCAAAGCACACTTTATCTTAACTACCCTAGGGAACCTACATTAAGAGAAAGGGGTTTTTTTTTGTTTTTAATCTACTGTATCCATGGTTTTTATTGACATTTAAAGTTTAAAATCTGAATTGGTCACTGAAATTTTTTTCATTAATCAATGAGTCATTTCACACACCAGATTCAGAAAACTTTTTAGAAAAGCCCAATAACTATTCTTGTGTGTGTCCATCTTCTACAAATCTCAAGAAGATATTTTGGAAGATACTATATTCCGTTTCAGAATATAGTGGTATATCAAACACCCAAATATAAGTTTATGAGTGGTTTACCAAACTGAAAATTAAGCATCACTTATCACAATCTTGCCTAGGTTGAGGGCAGGGGAGAATAGGCACACTGTAGTGTTTGAAACCTCCATAGGTGATTCCAGCGGGCAATCAAAACTGAGAAACATTGGTCGGAGCCGTTTACACCCCTAAGCTGTTCTAAGAATTACAGTCAAGAAAGATTAATGCATTTGGGATTTTCTTTAACAGGAGACTGTCTTCCTCAAAATAATAGTCTCAGCTGGGCTCGGTGACAACCTATAATCCCAGCACTTTGGGAGGCTGAGGCGAGCGGATTGCCTGAGCCTGCGGGCTCAAAACCAGCCCGTGGAAAGTTGGTGAGACCTAGTCTCTACAACAATAAAGAAATCAAAACTTAACCAAGCGTGGTAGCGCACACCTGTAGTTCTGGCTACTTGGAAGGCTAAGGCAGAAGGATTACCGGAGCCCAGCGGGTTGATGCTGGGGTGGCTGTGAGTGTGCCACTGCACTCCAGCTTGGGCAACAAAGTGAGACTCCAACTCAAAAAAAAGAAAACTGTATAAATAAAACTCATGCTTCAATGCACGATTACAAAACTGCAGTGTATTTAATTTTGTTTCAAGCTGATATTGTTTACTGAACTTAAAATGATAAGAATATAGCCAGGTGTGGTGGCTCACTCCTGTAACCCTAGCCCTTCAGGAGGCCAAGTTGAAAGGACTGCTTGAGCCCAGGAGATCAAGACCAGCCTGGGCAGCATAGCAAGATCTCATCTCTGCAAAAAATATAAAAATTAGTTGGGTGTGATGGCATATGCCTCTAGCCCCCACTGCTTGGGAGGCTGAGGCGAAAGGATCACCATAGACCAGCATGTCCACACTGGGGTGACTGTGAGTGTGCAACTGCACTCCAGCCTGGGCAACAGAGTGAGACTCCACCTCAAACAAACAAACAAATAAAATAATAGTCTCCCTGAAGAGGCTTCAGGTGCTCTCACTGGCTGTCTTCAGGAGCTGGTGTAAAATCTAATACAAAAGCACTTGAGAGAACTGCTGAAAAGGGGTAATTTCATTACCGTAGCTGTTTTCACACTGGACAACTATCCTCATTTCTTTCCATAACTTAGATAGTATTCCCAAGTGCAAAATGCTAGCCTCTCCTAAGATATTTGGGGGCTTGGGGCAGGAAGAGACTTTCCTCCTAACTGGATTTTCATCAAGGAACACAACTTGTGACTCAACACCTACTGAAGCTCAAATGAAATATTATGGAGAACTGTCTGAAAGAACCATTCTTTTAATTACTTTAGAATTTAACCTTATTTCAGTTCAAATTATAAGAAAAAGCACTTGGACCACATCATAGGGGTCCTTATAAACTGCTTTTATTAATAATCATTGGCCATCCCATTTTCTACCCTTGTCCTGAACCTATATTGCTGAGTAGGTTGCCTTATATTTTTTATAAAACAAAACAGGTATGGGAATGAATTCTCTAGAGTACAAAGAATGTATTAAGAGTACTTACAACTTTATTTCCTCGCTTGGTTTAGGGATTTTGACCTGATGCCATATGTAAAGCAGAGTTAGTAAAGTAGCTATATATTTGCTAGGAATATAAATGAGACCTTGTAATTAAAAAAAACAAAAACCCCGAGGACAGTCCTTCCCCACAATACTATGCCACGTGAGATTTTGACCATTCTCAAATACCTACGAAGGTGGGTAGTGCTACTTGGTTTAAGGGCAAAGAATATAGTTTTGTCTCAATTCGATTTGCAAATGTATATTCCACAATAAAATGGTTTACCTCAACGTCCAGCTCCAGAATGTCTGCAGTCACATTCATCAGAGAGCCAATGTTTGGCTTGGTTCTCCCAAAGTCTCCATGTACAAACTCTTTAATGTAGCTGGGATTTGTTTAAGGAAAAAGATAGCAAGCAGTACCCACTGTTTGGTAAGGTTTGATGGGTGAGGGTGGAATAATAAAAGCGGTAGTGTTATAAAAGAGAAGTTATTTCTGAGCCCTAACTTGTGACATGCATCTTAGAAAGTAAGCTGTGAAAGTTGGGCTCGGTGGCTCAGAGTGTAATCCCAGTACTTTGGGAGGCCGAGGCAAGTGGATTGCCTGAGCCCACAGATTCGAGACCAGCCTGGGCAACTTGGTGAGATCTCGTCTCTACAATAAATAAAAAATTAGCTGGGTGTGGTAGCGCATGCCTGTAGTTCTGGCTACTTGGAAGGCTGAGGCAGAAGGATCGCTAGAGCCCAGCAGGTTGATGCTGGGGTGGCCGTGAGTATGCCACGGCACTCCAGCCTGGGTGACAGAGTGAGACTCCACCTCAGCAAACAAACAAACAAAAAGAAAACAAGCTATGGCAAGCTGGTTCCTATTGGCAGCCAGCATCAGGACCTGGGACCCGTGTTTACATCAAGCTCACCAAAAATCATAACTTTCTTTTGTCATTATAGCTTATCTCCAAGTACCAAGGGAACACTTCTTACATAGGACTCTACTGAAACCTTGACAATATTTACCTAAAGGATATGTTTTTGCCAACATTCAGTAAAAAACTCAGCATTATGTCGTATTCCGTAAGTCAGCTTTTAGAAGGAAATATGGGATAGAATTTGAATTTCAAAAAAATTTATTTCCAGATGATAAATTAAAAACTCAGCATTATCATATGCTGACATTATAGCCTCACTTTCTGAATGTTTATTCACTCTACCTTCACCACGTTTTGAATTAAGCATAAGCCATGTAATTATCTAGTAACTACTTTTTGCTAAACTCATAATTACTCAACAACTCATTCTCTTTCTCTCATTTTCTTTAAAGAATGCGCCTTCCGAATAGCAATGATAAGGAGAAAAAACCAAAAAGGCCCCAGAATAACCATTCAAACGTCAATATCTGTGTGGGTACAGGGGGGCACACCTCATCAACAAGGGTACCTGAACAATGCATATTTGTATACCTAACCCTTAACTGTATCCCCACAATTTTAAAATAAAAAATATGTTTAAAAAAACATTCAAAAGGTTCTTATTCATAGCTAGAGGGACGAGGTTTTAGTCAAATGAGCTAGATCAGTGTAGTGAGCAATAAAAATATACAAGGTATACACAAAATAAATGTAGTAAGTGAAAAACTCATACACTCTGTGTACAATCATACAGTATCTAAAACTTTATCAAGTATCTTTCTTGGCTAATACCTTAAATACATGTATGTATGTGGCTGGTTCTAAAAACGTCTTAATAGTATTGAAAAGACATTTACTTCTCCAGAAGACATTGCATTCCTCCTTGGCATGCCAAAACTAAAGGCAGGATTAGGTAAAAAGATTATTTGTTTAAAAATCTGTGATTTGCCCAGGTGTTTACAGTGACTCACACTTTGAGAAGCCAAGGTGGGAGGATTGCTTGAGGCCAGGAGTTCGAGACTAGCCTGGGAAATGTAGTGAGACCTTATGTCTCTACAAAAAAAATGTAGCGAGACCTCATGTCTCTACAAACATTTAAAAATTAATCAGATGTAGCCACTCAGGAAGCCGAGGCAGAAAGATCACTTGAACCCAGGAGTTCAAGGCTACAGTGAGCTATGATGGCATCTCTGTACTCCAACCTAGGTGATAGAGAAAGAAAACAATTTTTTAGATTGTGATATGAAATTCCATCCACAATAGGCAAATGTGCTTCAAACAACAAAGTTATACCTGTCCACTGGAGTCTAAATAGATCATCCCTTGATCTGAACTGCAAAATTAGAAGAGTTTAGGAGTAGATAACCTATACCTGGCTCAGATGAGTAAATCCAGGTCCTGAGGTGGGGCAGGGGAAGAAGAAGGAAAAGCACGTCAGTGGGGAAGGGCAGGCAGATTCGTTACAGCAATGCAGAGAATGGTATCAGGCAATTAAAACTTGCTTTTTTCCCCTTATATACATATGTATATCATGAGTTTTATACAAATTAGAGGGCATTTTATTAATATCACTTCATGCTACTGGAGTACAAGATGATACCAAATAAAAATCAGGAACACCTCTGAAAAGTAAACTAAAGTTAAGACTGTTGGAGCTCCCTGATATATTTTAATCAGTAACTCAGTTCTTATGCATAAGCCACACAAGTCAAATTAGGTTAGAATATGAACAAAAAGTATCAGCCTTGGATCATGGATATTTTAACTCTGAATCTCACCCTTTCTGTTCATAACACAGTCAAAACTCTTGGCAGTCTTTGAAGATACTGTCAACTAAGTTTATGTGGCTCAAACAAACTGAAACATTCTGGGTTTTGGGGTTTTTTTTTTTTACTAGTCATGTAGAGAAAGAATCTTCTCTGTTGTAATGGGCCACTCCCATTACAAATACGTGTGCACAGTGGCCAATAATGTTACCATCAAGATGTAAAGTGACCAGTCTCCGTGGCTCAGCCTGTAATCCCAGCACTTTGGGAGGCCAAGACGAGTGGACTGCCTGACCCTGTGCATTCAAGACCAGCCCAGGCAACTTGGCAAGACCTCATTTCTACAATAAATCAAAAATTAGTCAGTCATGGTAGTGTACGCCTGTGGCTCCGGCTACTTGGAAGGCTGAGGTGGAAGGATCACCGGAGCCCAGCAGGTCAAGGCTAGGTGGCCGTGAATGTGCCACTGCACTCTATCCTGGGCAATGGAATGAGACTCCAACTCAAAAAAAAAAAAAAAGACATAAAACAGTGCCATCCCATCTACAACTACCTATGTCTGATCATCTGGGGCAAATGCTTGAAACGGTAAAAATACTCCAATATGGTAATGAGCATGTGACTTACAAAAAATGTTGACAGCAAATTAATCAATCAAAAGTGTTTTCTGGGCATGTACTATGGGCTCAGCCCTGTGTACCACACTGTCACTAAAGGTGAAACACAAACAACTTTAAAACTGACATTAAACCTCAGGGTTTAAGATGTCATTTGAAAAACACAAAGTTCATGGGGGAAAAACACCTCAAACAAACAAAAAGCATTTTTCTCCAGTATAACCCTAATCCCTCTCAGACCAAGTTGAAGCTATTTTCTAGCGCAGCATTATCTCTCTTCCACAGGGCTCTGGTTAGATCATTGCAGTGCAGAAAGCGGAAGGATACGTTCCAGCCTGAGTTTTCAGGTGGAGGCGAAAATGATGCTCATCCACATAGTGTATCTCCATGGAGTGAATGGTACGCGTTCTCACAGCCAAGGGCCTCCGGTGAAGGACCCGCAGGGGTGTTTTCTGGTCGATCTTTAAGTCCTAGAGGGGAACATGATCCACAACCAGAGTCAGAGCTTTACCCCCACCTTCCCACCCCCACCAGGGAAGCCTGTCTTAACACCTCTTTTGTCATCCATCAAGCACAGGGATGTTTTCTTTAGAGCAGGGGCCCCCAGCCCTTGGGCCTCTGTTAGGAACTGGGCTGCACAGCAGTGGCAAGAGGGGGCAAGCGGAGCTCTGCGGAGGCATTAGAATCTCACAGGCACGAGTGAACCCCACTGTGAACTGTGCCCTCCAGGGATCTAGGTTGCGTGCTCCTTGTGAGATGATCTGAGGTGGAGCTGAGGCGGTGATGCTAGCACAGCACTGAGGAGTGGCTGCAAATACAGATTCCCATTAGCAGTGAGGTTTGACTGCATATCACCACCACCTCCCACCTTGTGGAAAAATTGTTTTCCACAAAACCAGTCCCTGATGCCAAAAAGGTTGGGGACTGCTGCTTTAGAGGACTCCATTTATCACGGTCAGGGTAGAAACTAACTAACGCTATCACAAATTGTATCCTTTAGGTTCAAACTAGGTAGGACGTCTCTGAGCCTAGTTCACAATGACTCATTTTCTGGGCCCCAGTCACCTCACCACTAAAAAAGGGTTTCCAAGTAAATGATCCTCGGGGTCCCTTTGGCATTAATATTTAACAAATTGGTTATGACCGTGGAGTTCTATCCTGTCCTTTGCTTCAACAGAGTCCTAATGGAAGACATTGTGCTTACCTTTGTTTTTCTAACCTGACAGAGTGACCTAACTGAGGATTTCAGGCTGGGTGAGAAATGTCTGGCTGCAGGAGGGGACCTCAGCACCACTTTTGTGTATGGGCACTTTGCATGGAGAACCATAGATTCCCTCAGGGGTTGTTTGTGGGGTTTTTGTTTGTTTTTGTTATACAGAAGGATATATCTGGAAAAAAATGCATCATTGTTTAAGGTGACACTTCAACATAATAATTACAAATAAGTGTGCACAATAGACCAGGACCTCTCAATACAAGGGGGAACTGGGAAAAACAAAAAACAAAAACCCGGAATTATTTTTTGGAGGGCAGGCCCCTTGTAGTACAGGCTTTCCTTACTAGGTAAGTGTTCTAGGAATCCATGGACATCAGCGTACCAGTTAGCATTGTGAGAGGTGCGTTCAGCTTCACTGAATTTTTTGGAGATTCCATCAACAAGTTTGCCATTTCATGGTGGGTAATTTACAAGCACACCTTCCCTTACCACGCTGAGTGTTCAGCAGTTTTTGACCAAAAGCAGATGTCCCCCATACCCCACCTTCCTATTAACCCTGTCTTGCCCCAAGCAACTATTTTTTGGTTCTCTGGATGAAAAAGTCCTCAAAGGGAAGCATTTTGCCGATATGGAAGAATTGAAACAAAAAATGGCAGAAGCACTAAGGCATTAAAATCAGTGAGCTCAAAACCTGTTTTGGGCAGTGGAAAAAGCATCTCCATAGGTGTATTGCATCAAATGCAGAATACTTTTAAGATTGACGTTTAAACATGCAAGAATAAATACACAATCTTTTATGAATAAATTCCTGGTTTCTTTTTTATGAATAAATTCCCATCGTATCTGTTAGCCTAGTTTTGAGTAATAATACTGTATATTTTTACCTTTTTCATTTTCTATTTTTTAGGGACACAGCCTTGCTTTTCTCACAATTAGTTCAAATTAGAGATTTTATGTCATGAGATATAAGAATTAGAGGTCAATACTGTAAACTGTTAACTAATTTCAAGTTTTAAAAATAGATATCGGGTACAACTAAAAATGAATGTAGTTTCATAAGAACTTAATTATCCTCAATTTCTTGTTGGAACAACTCTTCCTAATTTACATTATTTGTGAGTGCCCGAAGCCCTGCTAAGAAAAGAAAGTTTTCCGTCTGGCCTCCTTTCTATCAAGTTCTCCACCAGAAACAAAAAGCAAGTTCTGACAAAGACCACATTTGAAAGGGTGTGACTGCTTTTATCAGAGAGGTGAGTCAATGGCCCCTCCTAACTCTGTGGTTTTCGTGATTCTATAATTCTTTGATTTAAGAAGCACTTTGTTCTGATGAAATAAGCTGTCTCCATAAGGTCTGATTTTTCTCTGGCCGAAAAGACCAAAAAAAAAAAAAAAAAAAAGACAAGGCTGAATGAACTGCTGCTAAGTCATCTATAAAGACATGGCTCCACTTTAGAGTACAGAAACAGCTGACCTTCAAATGAACAACTATCTCATGAGTGCTCTTCTCACCTTGACAGTCACTCCTTGTATATGACCACAAGCCAATGAGTCAATGGAAATACAAACTGAGTTGCTATATCGCTTCCAACATAACTCTCAGATGAACACACATTCACATGTCTTCTTTGGGCTGTTTTTAGCTGACAAAAGGAAGTAACCTCATTTAGTCTTACCTTGCACTCGATTGTCCCTATACCACTGAATTATCAGAAACACCAAAAAATATGCACTCAGATTTTTTCTTAGAAGCAGTTGCTCTTTAACAAGAGGGACAAGTAATAAGTTTGAAGTGACTTTTTCTCAGAATGGGGAAGTTAGTTTTTATTTTTTGAGTAGGAGTCTCATTCTGTTGCCCAAGACTGGAGTGCGGTGGCATGCTCACGACCACCGCAGCCTTGACCTGCTGGGCTCAGGCGATCCTTCTGTCTCAACCTTCCAAGTATCTGGAGCTGCGGTATGCACCACCCTGTCCAGCTAACTTTTTGATTTGTTGTTGAGATGATGTCTCGCCAAGTTACCCAGACTGGTCTCGAACCCCTGGGCTCAGGCAATTCTCTTGCCTCTGCCACCCAAATTCCTGGGATTACAGGCGTGAACCACCATGCCCAGCTGTTTTTATTATCTTTATTTCAAAAAGAATATTTGAAAACTGTAAAAATGTTATTTGACATCGACTAGTCACATCAGTCTACTTGGGCGTTGGGCCATTAAAATAGACCCTTTCACCACTCCGTCCGTACCTATAAAAATTATCTTCTAATGAATTCATGCCATGGCTACCCCCAAACTGTGAATCTTTTTTTTTCCTTTGTTCTTATGAAATAGGCTTTTCTTATTCCCACAGCATTCTGAATGACTTACACAACACATGTGAAGGAATAAGGAAGTTTAAAAATGTGTTTTGCAATCTTAAAGATATCTGCATATAACTATATCCGAAAGGCCCAAAAAGTAGGGCCAAAAGCCAAAGGGTCTTAGATACAAAATCACAAAATCTAAAAACTGGAGGGGCCACTGGGGATTACCTAGTCCATCCACTCATTTCACAGATGAGCTTCTCCAAGCAGGTGAATGATTTGCAGGTTTTCACCAGAATACGCATACTATCGACATTTTCTTGCACTTTACCGTTTTTTTCATAATGTCATAGTGCCCCTATAAGTCAGAGATGTAGGCATATGTCTATCTTTTTTCCAACATTTTAAGGTACATTAATATATAAATCAAATAGGATCATATGCTGGTTTTGTTTTTTCAATAGCTGTATAATATTCCAATTTATTCTACCATTTCCTTATTAAAATGATATTGACTTTAGTTCCAGTTTTTTTATTGTTGTTGATGTTGCCACTTGGAACAAAGCCTTTAAACATTTTTGTATACATATTCTTATGCACTGAAGTTTTATTTCCACAGGACAGATTGTTGGCAGAAGACCAATATAGTTTAAATGTTTATAGTCATTGCCACGTTGCTTTCCAAAATGGTGGAAACACTACATTTCTACTGACAATGTATGCAACTGTCCTCCTCCTCCACTCCAGCTTGCGGATAGCCATTATCGGTTTAAGGGAACAAAGTGGCATATTATTACTTCAACCTGGAGACGGAACATCTTTTCAAATGATTCTTGGCCATTTGGAGCTGCTCATGTTTCAGCTGCTGACTTATATCCTTTGTTCATTTTAATCTATTGGGTGTTTGTATTTTTCATGATAAGTATAAATCTTATTTATGGCATCTTTTGTCACACAACTTGTTGTCTAGGAAATCACCCATTCGTGTATACACATATATACATGGGTGTGCTTAAATCATAACATATAATCATCCTCTCCAGACTCCATACCTTGTTTTTTTTCTCCCATTAACACTTACCAGGAACATTTTCCTATGTTGATAAACATTTATCTACCACATAATTTTAAAATACATATATATCTTTTTTTGAGTTGGAATCTCACTCTGTTGCCTGGGTTGGAGTGCAGTGGCACAATCCTGGCCACCCCAGCATCACCTTGCTAGACTCAGGTGATCCTTTCACCTCAGTCTTCCAAGTAGCCAGAATTCCAGGTGTACGCTACCATGCCTGGCTAATTTTTTTATTTATTGTAGAGATGAGGTCTTGCCAAGTTGCCCGGGCTAGTCTCGAACCAGTGGACTCAGGTAATCCTTTCGCCTCGGTCTCCCAAAGTGTGGGATTACAGGTTTGAGCCACCGTTCCCCGCCAAATATACATATATTTTTAGTCCAAGTCTCATACTGTGTCACCCAGACTAGAGTGTAGTGGCATCATCACTGCTCCCCAACATCCTCAACCTCCTGGACCCAAGCAATTCACCTACCTCATCTTCTCAAGTAGCTGGGACTAGCAACTAAGCCTGGCTATATTCTTAAAATTTTTATTTTTGTAGAGACGAGGTATCACTATGTTGCTCAGGCTACTCTTGAAATCCTGGGCTCAAACGATCCTCCCACCTCAGCATCCCAAAATGCTGTGATTACAGGCATGAGCCACCATGCCCAGCCCTACCACATAATTTTTAACAGTGGAATAGTGGCTGGGTGCAGTGGCTCACGCCTGTAATCCTAGCACTTGGAGAGGCCAAGGCAAGAGGATTTTGCTTGAGCCCAGGGGATCAAGACCAGCCTGGGCAACTTGGTGAGACCTTGTCTCAACAATAAATCAAGAAAAATTAACCAGGCGTGGTGGTGCACTCCTGTAGTTCCAGCTCCTTGGAAGGTGGAGATGGAAGGATCGCCAGAGCCCAGCAGGGGGAGGCTGTGGTGGCTGTGAGCATACCACTGCACTCCAGTCTGGGCAACAGAATGAGACTCCAACTCAAAAAACAAAACAAAGAAAAAACAGTGGAACAGTAATATTCCATGATACAGATGAGTCATAATATGAAACCTATTCCTTCTAGATTGTTATAAAACATTACATACATTGTCTATAGAAATGTAAATGCAATAACTATATGCATGTTTGTGCCCATTTCTGCTCATTCCTTGCATTTGAAACTAAATTATTTTTACAGGAAGAAATAGGAACAGGTAGGGAGAAATATGCAAATGAGCGGGCAGTCCTTCTACAGTGACATGTTCATGTGAAGGAAAATTTAGCATGTGCCAAAATATATGTAATTTAAATATATTTTCACATTTTTTTCATGTACTTAATCTCAGCATCCATTCTACTAAGTAAGCACTACTTTGTATTTATTTTTACAGATGACCAAATATAATCACATTGCTGAGTGTTTTCTATGTGCTAGGTATTGTTCTAAGTGTTTTATATAACTAAACTCATTTAATTCTTTCAACAGATTTTCTAGATGAAGAAACTAAAACATGAGGAGTTTAAGTCACTTGTCAAAGTCACATGACTAAGAAACACAGACCCAGGACTTGCACCCAGGCACTCTGTCTTCAGAGTCGGACACTCCATCGCTGGTCACACTGCCTCTCCAGTGGGTTAGGTGAATTGCCCAGTCGTTCAACTAGGAAATGGCAAAGCAGGATATGAACTCAGGTCTCATACAGTCCAAAGCCCATGCTCTATGACTTTCTGGTAAGAAACTAGAAGACAATAGACTCTTTTATAGGCAATAGAAAAATAAAATAAAGAGAATAAGGGCACTGAGACTACCTTTATGTCATTTAGGAATTCAATGTCTTTCTTCTGTATTGCTTCATTTGTCCATATTAAGGCACTATAGGTTTTGGTCTTTTCTTCTTCTCCTTCTTTCATATGTCCTATTGCCTCCCTAAACAAAAACAATTTTTTAAAGTTTGTCTGAATATATATATATAATACACATAAGCCTTGTCCCAAATTTCCCTTTCTTTAAAAATAGCTTTAATGAGATATCATTTACGTATGATTTCCCTGTTTTAACTGTACAACTCAGTGATTTTTAGTATTTTCAGAGTTGTACAGCTATTACCACAATCTAGTTTTAGAGTACTTTCATCACCCCAAAAAAAGAAACTTTGTGCCCATTAATAGAACTTCCCATGCTCCTTTTCCCCCAGCCCTAGACAACAATTAATTGACTTTCCGTCTCTATAGATCTTTCTATTCTGAACATTTCCTATAGAATGAAATCATACAGTATGTGCTTTTTGGTGACTGGAAGACATTTCATAATGTCTTAAAGTTCATCTGTGTTGTAGCATGTGTCTCTACTTCCTCTTATTACCAAATAATATTCCATTGTATGGAGACCCCACATTTTTTTATCCATAGACATTTGTATAGTTTCTACTTCTTTATTATTGTGATTAATGCTGCTATGAATATTCACATACAAGTCTCTGTGTGGATGTAAGTTTTCATTTTTCTCGCATACACTATGTAGAAATAGAATTGCTGGTCCTATGTTTAACCTCTGGGGAAAATGCCAAACTTTTCCAAAGTGACTGCACTTACAATCCCACCAGCAATGTATTAAGGGTTACAATTTCTCCGTATTTTTGCCAGCACTTATAATTTTCTGTCTTTCTGATGATGCCATCCTAGAGAGTGTGAAGTGGAATCTCACTGGTTTTGATTTACATTTCCTTATGACTAATGATGTTGAGCATTTTTTCTTATGTTCATTGGTTATTCCTAAGTAGAGAATCTCTACTGATCACTTCCCCATTTTTAATTGAATCATTAGGGTTCATTATATACTCAGGATGCAATTCTTTTATCAGTTATATGACCTGCAATGAAAAACTTCTCTTTTGACATCATCTCCAGTGAGCCTACTCTTACCTTGTGACAAGCTGCAAGTCACGTACTTGGATTTTGTTAGATGAGCTATTAATTTTCTGTAGTAGCAAAAAAAGGAAAAACAATTAGCAGCTCTAGATCAGTTACAGAGTTGCAGAAACATGACGATTTCCATGTCATGAAGTGGTTTACCTGCTGAAGTTCCTTAATTTCTTGTGAAGTGAAATGTACTCTATGAGGATTCACCAGCTCAATTGCAAAGGGCCTTCCTGGCAGCACACACCCCGTCATGAAACAGAAACGTGTTGATGGAGTTAACATTTGGGCTAATGCAAGAGGGTTAGGAGGTGTGAAAAACGGGTTGAGCTCTAGAGGACTGAAAGTTTAATAGCATGACTACATCTGGGGGAGGGAAGAATGTGTGAAAAGAATCAAGGGGCTTTTTGGGGGGCAAGGGGACTGCTAAACCCCAACATGGGCAATATGTGAAAATGACTGCTTTCCCAAAGGTCCATGAACAAACCTGTGTTAATTACAAAATAAAACTCAAACAACCACTGATTAACTTGGTTACGAGAATGTAATGTTGTCACATGCAGCAATGCCCTGTTGAAATTCATCCTTCCTTGCCTGATCCACTAGTGAAATGGAAAAGCTGTGATTCCATGAGAGGAAAGGACCATAACTCTTCAACTAGCTCAGCGTTAACCCTCATCATCTTTCTGATAATGCCACAAGGTAGAATGAGAAATATGAAGGCCAAGAGAACAGAATCACTTTTTAGATGAAGATTTACATTTTTTAAAAACTGTACTAGTACTCCTGTAATGTAATTAAATGGAACAATTAACACCAAACTTTTAGAAAATAGAAGTCAGGCACCTCCTTGTTAATACACATGAAAGTTCCTTATAATCTACAAATATGCAGTAAGGATGGCCTCTGAAGAAATTACTCCTGTTGAGACATATATAATTTCTAAAGGCAGCTCCATAATCCACAAAGCTCACTCGCTTGGAGAAGTTCTGGGCCCTGCTCACTCTGGTTATGCCTAAGTGACTATGGTAAGCCTGCTGTCTGGAAAGGGTAGCAATCGGAAAGTTAGTTCTTATCAGGTGATACTGTTGCAATCTTACCATTTCCTAATGTTCTCACATCTACATCTTCTCTTCCAGAGGATGAAAAATTAAAACCTTTGGAAAGCAGATAAACAAAAAAAAAAATCAGGGACATAATAGCCCTAAGATATTTGTTTCCAACCTTTGGTAGAAACCCAATCGAAGGTCTTGAAAAATCTACAGAGAACCCCGAGGGACAGTCATCATCCCACTCTAATCTCAATCTCTACCAAAAATAGTAATGATAGCAATTGACACCATTTATTGAGCACTTATTATATGCCGGGCATTGGGCTAAAAATTATGCATACATTATTTTGTTTAATCCTTATGATAACCTTATGAAGTAGGTATTAAATAAAAGAATACCAAGCTTCAGAAAGTAAGGTGATTTCCCCAAGGTCACACAATTAAATGGCACAGGTAGGTGTTTCTAACGTCAAAGTAGTCCTTAACTACTATCCTATAGAAAAGCCAACAGCAGTACTGTTTGGAGGAAGGCCCCACGACCAGACTGACCACAAGCTGAGGGTGAAAACTCTATTATCTTTCTTTCTTACCTTAAAACAAAACCAAGTAAAACCTTTACGAAAGGATGAGGAGAAAAGTTTGACTCTAAAAAGCAAATTCATTATGTGTATAATTAAACATAAACTGGAGCCATGATAAAACCAGTATACATTCCAAGTCAAATGGATCATCACAAGCTAAAAGCTACAAATATTGAAGGAGGAAATAGTTCATTTTTTTTTTTTAAAAAAGTCACTTAACAATTTTCTCAGATACAAAAGAAGGTCAGGCAGGGAATAGGATCCTGCAGACCACTAAATCCCAAAGAACCCTCCAGTCTATGTTTACACTCCAATGTCATGTTACTAATAAACCCATAGTAACTCAATAGCTTCCAGTCAGAGCCAAGAGACTCAAGCCATACACTAATGAAGGAAGGACAGCCATAACTTAATGATGAATCCAAAATGGCACCTGGGAAGCTGATGATGTGGCCTCCCTGGTGCAATGGTTTGCCTTATACCTACCAACCCCTTATCTCTTAACCAGCCGTAATAGGGAATTAGGAGGTCCACAGTAACTGAACAAGAACTTGTGACTGGCAGGGGTGAAGGGAATGAACAGGGCTTAGAGACATAAGCTTACCAGTTATTGCCAAATCAGACCAGAACTCTCACATTTGTAAATCAGCCCATAAAATGCCCCACAAATTCCAGTCCATTAGTAAGAAAGAGGTACAGAAAGCTAGGCTCCTGAGAAGGCCATGGAAGTATTAAATCCAGACTAAGGAAGAAGAGATATTTATTATATCTTTTAGAAAAATATTTCAAACCTGAGGACTAAAGAAACATCCTTGGACCCTAGAGTGAGAGAAACTTTTGGGGGCAAACCTTGAAATGTTACTAGTGTGCAATTAAGAATAGCAGCTGATAAAAAGAAAAAGGTGCCATCACCTTAAATGTTAGAAAATACATGCTGAGGCCAGGCACGGTGGCTCAAGCCTGCAATTCCAGCATTTTGAGAGGGCGAGGTGAGAGGATTGCCTGAGCCCATGGGTTCGAGACCAGCCTGGGCAAATTGGCAAGACTTCATCTCTACAATAAATTTTTTTAAAAAATTAGCCAGGCATGGTGGCACGTGCCTGTAGTTCCTGCTACTCGGAAGACTGAGGCAGAAGGATCGCCTGAGCCCAGCAGGTTGACGCTGGGGTGGTCGTGAGCATGCTACTGAACTCCAGTTTGGGAAATGGAGTGAGACTCCAACTAAAAAAAAAAAAAAAAAAAAGGTAAACAAAATACGTGCTGAAAATTTAGTTGAGTTTTTAAAATTTACATTATGCCTTGCCTTACCCCCCATAAAAAACAAAATCAAGGGCAAGAATGATCAGAAACTATAAATGGCTCAGCTAATCTACAGTGGTCCTCAAACCCAGGGGCAGACAGACAGTGAAACTGAAAGGTGAATAGAGGCCAGTTTGATGACAACCCAGAACAAGTTAAGTGGTTTGGAATTTCTCCTGTAGCTAGTCATTGACCAGTATTTAGCAGATAACTGACATGACAAATATTTATTCAATGAGTAATGAGCCAGGTAAGGTGGTGTAGGCCTGGAGTCCCAGCTACCAGGGAACCTAAGGCAGGAAGACCACTGGAGCCCAGGAATTTAAGGTTACAATGAGTTGTAATTGCACCACTGAACTCCAGCCTGGGTGACAGAGGTCCTGTCTCTAAAATAAATAAATAATAAATGAAATCAGTAAAGTAATAAATGTAAATTGATTTTGAGAGTGTGTCCAAATGTATCAATCATTAACTAGGGAATTAGCAAGTAGATAATATGACAAGCCAGTATGAAGTGACTGACAGACAAACTTGCCTATTTCACTTAGAAGGGATGCTTACATAAGTAGCTAGTCTGCTCCATGCAATATTGGTTTATTTCATTGAGCTGTAAAACTTAGGGGTACCCTGTTAGAACTGTCTTCTCGGAGTTGTCCAATGTGAAAAATTAATTTAAAAATAACAAGTAATAAGGATGCAGTAATTCACACCTGTAATCCCAGCACTTTGGGAGGGTAAGGCAGGAGGATTGCTTGAGACCAGGAGTTAGAGATCAGCCTAGGCAACACTGCAAGACCTCATAAAAAAAAAAAAAAAAAATCCTTGAAAAAGGGTCCACCTGCCTAATAGGCAACAAATTCTAAAAGGGATGTGGTTTGAAGTGCTTTTCTTTCCTCCTGGCAAGTCAAAGAGCTGGATGAGTCAGCCATATCTCATCTCAATCATCTGTTTGTTATTCTCAAAGCACAACTGTCTTAAGGTTTTTCAGAGAGAAGGATGGATTTCTAACCGGTCCCTCCAAAAAAGGTTTTCTAATTATGCTAGGAGCCTCATTCCAAACTACGCTCGCTGTTTGCAGTTTTACCTAACGTGTAACATGATTTCCTGTGATTGAAATCTTAGTCCCTTTCCTCTTATCTAATGCTATGTGAAATCACAAAACTTCATGCTGCCTATGACCTAACAAGTCTGTTAAAACAAGGAAAACATAAACCTGATGGAACCTGACTCATCTCACAAACCTGGGCTCATTAATACCTAGGAAATTCAAACACAACATGGCTGCCATTAAGTCTTTGTAAAATGGTTGTTGTTGATTTATTCTCTCAAGGCCTGATCTTTAGATGGTTAAAACAGGAGCCGGACATTTGCCAGTGATTAATCTTGAACAAGCACTGAATGAGGAAGATGTGTTTTAATTTCCTCATATTCCAAAAAAAAGGCCAAGGCTGAGGTGTGCCAACACCAGGACTTAAGTGCATTCATTTAAAGTAGTTTTAATTGTTTTGGATTTCCCCAGGAGAAAGCAGTCATCTTGAGAGGGGAAGGAAAGACATTCTTGGGCACCTTGACTGAAATCCAGCCCAGGTCAGAGACCCCAGGACATGATGATCCAGTTATAGAAAGCCTACAGCCAAGGTGACCAGACTTGATAGTGAGGAACAAAATATAGAAGTCTTTCCTGCCACCTCCAAGAAATCTATTCATGAATGACAGTATGTCAAAATATGAAGGTCATAACGCTTACTCTCTGCTTTGAATACTCGCAACAGATGATCTGAAATTAATTCTTCCACTGAAGATTCCAGCTTCCTTTCTCCATCAATTATCCAAGGAGTTTGCGGTAGATTCCTGGAGTATTTATTATATCTCCCTGCCAAAGGAGATATATAGGATAAAAAGAGAAGCAACAACTATTTAGCAAATATCAAGACCTTAGGTTCTCTGATACAAAACAAAGACTAGCCTTTAAATAACCTACAATCTAATTTGGAGAGAGAGACATTTAAATAAATAAATCAAAAGATTTAGAGTAACAATAGAATAGATGAATAAAGAAACTATATGAATGGTGCATCAAATGAGTTTGAAAGAAATGGGTCAATATATTTTTTAATCTGATTGACTGAACAAGTTATAGAATATTATCGAACGTATCAAGGATCAAGGAAAACTACTGTTTTCATACGTGATTAATAGTACTTTCAACGTAATGGTCATTGATGATAATATATTACAGAGTTCAAATGAAGGAATTTTTTTTAAGTTAAAAAAAGTGAAAGAACCCTAGAATATGAATCACTGCTTTATGAATAAATTTGCACTAAGATAGGTGGCTTTCATTGCCTGAGGGCAGGATATTATAGTCAAGGTTAAAAGTAATTTTATTTCAGATATAGTTACCATAAAACAGCTATAACTTTCAAAACAAAAACTGTCTGCTAGATTACGTCCTGGGAAAGTCAACAAACTTTTTTCTTCAGGTGGAAGGTTAGTATTTAGTCATTTTGGCGATCATAAATTATTTTTTCAAGTTTGCTTTCATTTTGTAAAACATTCTCTCTCCTGTCTTTTTCCTGACCAGTTTTGGGTCCCTGCACATATTTCTACTTGGTCATCTCTGATGAAAACTATTAAAGCCTGCGAAGTGTCATTTCCCTTTGATATGGTATTTTAAGTAACAGATCTCGAGTGATCCTTAAGAATGCCTACAGAAACTAAAACAAGTTGAGTTATCATCAGTTCTACTTTTCAATGAATCAGAATCTAATAACAACAAGAATAAAACAGAAAAGGAGTCAGCTGAGTTTTTCAGAAAGGAGAGTAAGTTCACAGTGTATGTATAGTCTAGACTAAATATTTTACCAGCCACAAAAACAGCACCATGAGCACATTCAATTTCAAGAACAGTGCATACAGCCTTTGGTGAGTTTGGAGGACAAGGAAACTGCCTGTAAAACAAAATAAATTTTATGGCTACTATTTTCCAGACATAATATTGAGTCACAAAACTAAGATGAATCAGCATTGTCCCAGACACACACAGAGCCTGAGTCTCTCAAGGACTAAGTGCTTCCCTGTCTTTTAGCTTTGGTACAATATGGGTCTTTCGGGCTTATAGAGTACCACTTTTGACCCACGAGAGTGGCACGAAGTAAATCAGAGCTCTGCTGCTACCTTTCACCAGCAGAGGCCTCATCTTCCCATAGGATAATTTCCAACAGCCTGGAGATTTGGGGAAAATGCCCACACACATGAAATGGAAGCCCCTCTAGGCTTCCACTTTTGCTGTCCCTTGCTGCTTACTGCTGGTTGACAGGATCCTCAATCATTTGGGGAAAGGGGTTATGCAGTGAGAGACTGGTCATGTAAGTCCCACCCATGGGGAGGGCACGCCACCATTTTTCTCTCTTTTGACTTTGTATTCCAGCCTTGACCGTGGACCACAGAGCCAGAAAAAGTAGGACTCAGCAGCCTCTACCCTCTTAGCTATGAAATTTCAGTCCAACTGAGGACAGGTAGGAAGGAACAATGTATGGCTTTATTCTCTATCCATCATCTAAGCATTTCCAAAGCCACAGACTGGAGAGTACCTATAAATGACTAGATGTGGATTTAACCCCAAATGTGTGACTTAAAAATTTCATAGTTTCCCAAGATATCCTAACAAAGAAATTATTTAGAAACTCAGAACTACTGCTTGTATGGAGCAACTGTCTTTACTTCTTAAAGTTTAATAAAAATAATTCCATTCTGAGACTCATTTTTAGGTCAGTAAAATATATGAAAACTTCCTTATAACGCAGAATATGATTGAAGAAATCATATCAATCTACATACTTAAAGGATAACTGTAACACTATTTTACTTAATAAAATGAATTTACTGAGAATTAAAATGTAAGGTTTATTGCATTTATTGTATTTCAGCTTTTTTTTTTTTTTTTTGAGTTGGGATATCACTCTGTTGCCCAGGCTGAAGTGCAAGTGGCACAATCACAGTTCACCACAGCCTCGACCGCCTGGGCTCACATGATCCTCCTGCCTCAGCCTCCCAAATAGCTGGGACTACGGGCACATGCCACCATGTGTTTTTGTTTTTTGGGTTTTTTTGGCTTTTTTTTTTTTTTTTTTTGTAAAAATGAGGTCTTGCTGTGTTGCCCAGGCTGGTCTCGAACTCCTGGGCTCAAGCAATCCTCTCGACTCGCATTCCCAAAGTGCTGGAATTACAGGTGTGAGCCACCACATCCAGCCTTATTTCAGCATATTTTAACAAGTGAGGAAACACATGAAGCTCCTTCTTCCCCTTCTGGAGATAAATAATACTAGGAAATCCTGGAGTAGGGATGTAATGGGAATAGCACTGGGCTGGAGAGTCAGAAAGCCTGGCACTAGGCCTACTCTCTACTATCCAATTGAAATCTTAGGCAAGTCAACTCCTTCTTTGAACAGCCTCTTCTAAAAGATAAAGAAGTTGGACTTGATTCATAAATTCAGTTACTAATTTGACAAACATTTACTGAACACCACTACATGCCAGACACTGCACCAGGAATTGGGTATATAACAATGACTATGACACAATCCTGGTCCCTGAAATATGAGTCTTGTTTTAGAGATAATCCAGCTTATTTCGAGTATTCCCTTTATTTTAAAATTCCACGATGCTTCCTTGTTTCTATACTACTACTTACTTGCGGAAATCCTCTTCTTTTATCTTATTCAAAGCTTTCATAACTGCCATTCTGGTGAATACTGACTATATAGGGTAAAAAGAAAAGACATATTTTATCTTCCAGACAAGAAAGCATCAGAGGTGAAATATAAAATATGGTTGGAGAAATTTTATCACTTTACATACTTAAAAGGGAGAAATACTTAACGGTTTTGAGAAAATAAATAAAACGTAAGCGTTCATGTCAGTTCTGCAGTTGATGTACCTCTACAACCCTTCTCTCTCTCTCTCTCTCTCTCTCTCTCTCTCTCTCTCTCTGTCCCTGTCTCTCTCTTTCTCTCTCTCTCTGTTCCTGTCTCTCTCTCTCTCTCTCTCTGTGCCCTGTCTCTCTCTCTCTCTCTCTCTGTGCCCTGTCTCTCTCTCTCTCTCTCTCTCTCTCTCTGTCCCTGTCTCTCTCTCTCTCTCTTATTAAGTTGGGGCCTTACTCCGTTGCCCAGGCTGGGGTGCAGTGGCATGCTTATGGTTCACCACGGCCTCGAACCATTTGGGCTCTGGTGATCCTTCTGCTTCAGCCTCCCAAGTAGCTGGGACAACAGAAGAATGCCACCATGCTTGGCTAGTTTTGTTTGTTTGTTTTTGGTAGAGACAGGTCTTGCAGTATTGCCCAGGTTACTCTCAAACTCCTGAGCTCAAGCAACCCTTCTGCCTCAGCTTCCTAAAGGGCTGAGATTACAGGCTTGAACCACTGTGCCCTGCCTATTCCCTTCTAGTCTACGCCTACAATCCCAGGTTGACCTAGCAGAATAGGTCTCCTTCATTGTACTGTCCCTCTCAAAATGTGGATTTCTTCAAATCCTCTCAAAATGTGGATTTCTTCAAATACAAAAATGATGACATGGTAGGAAATGTGCTTGGAACTTTTTACCAGACCTCAGAGAAGAATCTAGATTCATCCATCTATGTTTCCTTCCCTATACCCTTTCAGAAGCCACCATATATACTTTAGGGGTTGGCTACCAGGGTAAGGGGTGAAACAGTGCCCTGCCCTGGCATCTAGCAACTCGGGACACTGGCCAGCCATAAACAGAGTAAGCAAATCCACTACACTCAACAGAAGGGCATCTACAACAAATGTCCACTTGGCTTTTTTAAGATAAGAAAGGCCAAACCGCATGGTAGACATAATAGAACTGATACATATATACGGGGCTAACTATGATAAATCACAATCATTTCTTCTGTGGTGAGACATCACATTGGACTGAAAGCATGTACAGTGTGAGCCTCTCAATAATTTATCACCAGCCAAAGCAGTAATGTTTCTAAGTCATATTCTGGGAAACTCAAGGGAGTTCTATAAGATACCATAGAGTTAGAACTGAAAATTAAGTGTCTGTTTGATCAGATATAAAATTTTAGGCTGGAAAAAAATTTCAAAAGGTCATTCAATTTACTCCCAGACAGGAGGCAAGAAAACTACATTTGAGACTCTACAATTCCCACTGGCCAAATGATGGTGCCTACAGTGCTTTGAAAAAAATTTCCTTACCCTATTATTTGATGCTGGCATTTGTATATCTCCTCAAAGGTAACAAAAGATAAATCTAAATATTCCAGATAAATATGTCTTACAGGTCATTTGGGCAGAGCTTCCCAACTGGTCTGGAAAAGTAGTGGACTATTCTTGTCGCTAGAGGTTGAGTTCCTTAGTTCACAAAGGCTGCCGGGTAGAGCCTGAGACAATGGAAACCCCCAGGCCTGTTGCTTCTGACCAGAAGCAACTTCATCTGTTAACTGCAGATGTACTGAACAAACATGGTAATGTTCTAAGTGTACCACAATATAAGAAAAGTCAGGAAGCACAGCTTGAGGCTTGGTCTGCAGTTCTTATTATTTCTACACAGGGTTTTCGGCAAATGTTACCAACTTTTTTCCCAGTTCTAAAAGACCTAACAATTAGTCAAAGCAAGAGGCAAGACCAACAGATGTATCTTTCACAATAAACTTACATGCCTTTTAACAGCCACGACAACTAAATGGATGCCAGTGAAACTGTAGGAATGCCTGACTCTGTGTACAAAACCAGCTAAGAACCTGGGGTGTGAAAGATTACCATATTGTGCCATGCTATAGTATTCTGGCATCCCAGGAATGAAAGTACATGCTACTTTGCTCATTAACGTGAAGATCAGCTAACATCAAGATGGTAAAGAGGAGTTTGAATGCTCCTTTTACGAACGTAGCCTAAAATAGGTTATATTAATTCAGGGCTGTCTGAAATAATACACTTTGTATTACATATTTCAAACACCAATTTCTGGAAAATGGATATTAGATGAGAGTTTGGAATGCTGCTGATACTTACTGCAAATTTTCCCAGATGATGTAATTTGGGGGACTAAAATCTAAAAGTTGAATTTCCCCGATGGGTAATAGTAACATCACTGAGACACTGGTTCTAAATTTAACAATAGGGGAACAACCTAGTCCTGACACAAACATGAGGATGTTTGTGTGCCATGACTTCCTAGTCAGAGATAAAGGTTTAAAAAAATAAAATAAAATAAAAGTAGCAAATGGAAATACTTAAAGACAGAGTCTTAGCATGATAGAGTTGCCAAATTTCTAATACATCTTTTTTGTTATTAATTTGAATATTCAGCTCAGGCAAAACTCAGTAAAGAGTAAGAAGGGGGGCCAGGCTCGGTGGCTCAGCCTGTAATCCCAGCACTTTGGGAGGCCAAGGAAAATAGATTGCCTGAGCCCACAGGTTCGAGACCAGCCCAGGCAACTTGGCAGGACCTCGTCTCTCCAATTTAAAAAAAAAAACAAAAAGCTGGGTGTGGTAGCACTTGCCTGTAGTTGCGGCTACTTGGAAGCCTGAGGCAGAAGGATTGCTGGAGCCCAGCAGGTCAATGCTGGGGTGGCCATGAGCGTGCCACTTCACTCCAGCCTGGTCAATGAAGGGAGACTCTACCACGAAAAAAAAAGAGTAAGAAGGGGGAAACTTACTTGTTTGTTTTTGGCTGGCTTGAAACAATCTGGGCATATTGCAGCTCTAAAATAAAATTCAAGTTAATATAAAAGGTTAACATGTTTATTTTGAGGTGGATATAACTCAAATATATTTTATACAAATGGCTTCTAAACTCAGGATATCAGGAGCAGACAAAATGAATCCCTATATGAGTTGCATTGGTTTGCCTAGGAACATGATGCCAGAGGTCACATTTTAAGCCAACTAAGACATGCAGAGTTCCAAAATGCTCACTGGGAAGAGAAGCAATACTATTTTCATGAAAACCAACAGCATTAACAATTTTACAGAATTAACATTGTTGTTTGCATGGCAACTTACAGGAAGTGGCAATCCTCAACTGTTTCTGGGTGAGCAAAGACCACACTCACTTCAAACAAGCTCTAAAAATTATAAAGACAGTTTTAAAATGAGCAAAAGGAAACTAGCATCTAACAACTTATGAATGGAAATAGAAATTAACTCTCAAAGACTGGCTCAGAAAAAGAGTGACAAGGAAAACCAGATATACTACTGCTCTCAAACTGGCTTGTTCACAGGTAGCTGGAAAGAAAATCGCTTTTTGGGTTTTTTCTTTTGAACTTCTAAAACTCAGCTACTGATGATCCTACCAAAATGTTTGAAAGTAAATTTTAAAATAAAGTTGTACAGTTTTGGGACAAATACTTAAATTAGGTGTGAAGTCGAATAAGAATTCAGAAAATTGTAAAGAGATAATAACTGAAAGAAATGAATAATTATTCTGTAAATACTATAATTAGAATTATATTAGCAAGGCAAAAAAATCATATTATTTACAACCTTTAAAACTGTATGAAGCTTCTTTTTAAAGTGCTCAAATTTCTTAGTGGGTTTGAATTTTAAAAGATAGATTTTAATTTTTTGTTTTATAACAAAAATGATACACATAAATAATAATAAAATATAGGATGATTTTTCAATTCCATCCTTCTGAGGTAGAACAATTAACAATTTGGTAGCTGGGCTCAGTGGCTCAGCCTGTAATCCCGCGCTTTGGGAGGTTGAGGTGAGTGGATTGCCTGAGCCCATGGGTTTGAGACCTGCCTGGGCAACTTGGCGAGACCTCATCTTTACAATAAATAAAAAAACCAGTCATGCATGGTAGCACTTGCCTATAATTCCGCCTACTTGGAAGGCTGAGGTGGAAGGATCACCGGAGCCCAGCAGGTCGAGGCTGCGGTGGCCTGGAGCGGCCACTGCAGTCCAGTCTGGGCGACAGAGTGAGACCCCAACTCAAAAAAAAAAAAAAAAAAATCTGGTGTGTTTTTTTCTAGGCATTTTTATGAATATAAACATATGTGTGCATAGTTGGTTTGTTTTTTTTGTTTTTTTTTTGAGTCAGCGTCTCACTCTGTCACCCAGACTGGAGTGCAGTGGCACACTCACTGGCTCCATAGCCTCAATCTGCTGGGCTCTGGCGATCCTTCAGTCCCAGCCTTCCAAGTAGCTGGAACTATAGGCATCTGCCACCATGCCCAGCTAATTTTTTTATTTATTGTAGAGATGAGGTCTCGCCAACTTGCCTAGGCTGTGGGCTCTGGCAGTCCTCTCACTTTGGCCTTCCAAAGTGCTGGGATTATGGGTGTGAACCACTGCGCCCAGCCTGTGTACATACTTTTAAAGATACTAAGCATGCTTTTGGAAAATTGCTTTACTTAATATCACATCATAGATATCTTTTCAAATCTAAGGGCCATCAGACATTTAAGCTGTAGAAAATTTTTCTATTACCAAAAAACTGCTACAATGAATATGCTTGTACACCAAAAAAGAACAATTTTATATTCTATACGCTTTTACCTCTATGGCAAATATATGAAATTTCATATTAGAAAAAAAGCTATAATGTTTACTATGTTACAATTTTTATCTTTTTTTATTGAGTTCTGTATTTGCTGAGTTCATTGAATTGTCAGCAAACAGATTAGGCACCCTAGAATCACAGTAATGAATGACTTTTTTGGGGGGGTTCCTATTCTAATCTACAAAATAAAATTAAAATGAACAATACATTCCTTTTATTTAAGAAAGTTCCTCAACCTGAATCTATTAGATTATTGCATCTTTTGTTTTCTATTTTCTGTTCTCACTGATTCAACATGTAAAATTATTCTGCTTCAAAACTGAAATCTGAGTAAAGATATTTTGCATTAATGACTTCTCTAATTTCCAAAGTACTTTCGTTACCTCATTTCCTCTTCAAGCAGTCTGTGAAGTGGTTTTATTCTCTAATCTCTCAATTTTCAGCTTAAAGAACAGAGTGTATTTTTAATCACAGAGGGAAATACAGCTATATGATTCAGAATGGTTAAAACAATTATTTAGCTTTATTTTGTCATTTCACTTGAATAGGAGTATATCTGATATTCAGAGACTTTTCTTCAAGCAAAATGATGAAGCAATAAGTTTATACTACTAAAATCTAATCTAAGATGATTTGGGAATATGTTCTGTTTTCACATCCGGAAACCTGTTTACTCTTTGCTGTAATTCAATCTGTTCCAGATGCTGAGGCCAGGTCTACTCTGGAAAAGGGAAATGTTATGATTTCAAAGGCAGTTACTGCCCAAAAGTAAACAGAGGGATTTGAGATACCAACAGGGTTGGATAGATTGAGCCTATTCTCGCTGTTGTTGAATAGGTTCTGTCTATGTCTTTGAAAACAAGATTAAGCCACAGACAAATCAAAATTAAATAGACCAGAGTTGACTCTACAGTTGCTGGCAATTATTTATATATTGCTTTGTATCAAATCTATTCCTTCAATGGGACTATAAATGCATTAGAGGCAAAGATTCATTTCTAACCTTTTAAGATCAGTTAGGATACACTGTACTTTTTATCCTCATAAGTGTCTTGGATCACAAAGAAATCTTTGGAAAGGGAGGGAAGAAAGGCTCTGACCTCAATTTAATATCAGTTGGAAATTAATATTTTTAAAGCTTAAAAATCCTTCACTAGTTTATTTAAAAAGAATATAATCTTTTGGCTAACCAGAACTCTGCCATATAGTAAAGTAAAACTAGTAAAATCAAAGAATAGAATTAACAGTGCTGATGACCCAGTACCTTTCCATCAATGGGAACACCCAATTCCTCTGAAAACAGCGGGTGAGCTATCCATTTGTAGGCTTCTTTTAGCTGAACTATGTCATTTCTTCCCAGCGACAGATTCTGCTTTCTAAATAACATAAAAATTAATTCACTAACATGAAAAACTTCACTTTTCCATTAAAGGCAAGCACTTATGCAATTATTTATAAACATTGATTCAGCGCCTACTATGTGTAGGACTAGTGTGTAGGCACTATTCTACACATTAAATAGAAAGCAAAGAACAAAGCAAACTAAAATTCCTCACCTCATAGACCTTATATTTAGGTGGAATCATGAAGCTATTTTTTTTTAATGGTATATGACACAATTTTTAAAACTTCAAAGACAAAAACACATCAGTGTGTTTTTTCTAAGCTAGAACTTCCAGATTCCAGGATTTATGCAACAAAAGACAGAAAGATGGAATAGAGGTGATTGTTTATTGCTCACAAGCTACAAACTAGGAGAAACTGTATTATAATAATCACACCCATATTCAAAATGCTTTTATCACCTCTCTTTCTAAAAATAAGGCTTATGGCTGGGCGTGGTGGCTCAAGCCTGTAAACCCAGCACTTTGGGAAGTCAAGGTCAAGGTGGGCCTGAGCCCACGGGTTCGAACAGCCTGGGCAACTTGGCGAGACCTCATCTCTACAATAAATCAAAAAATTAGCCAGGCATAGTAACGAGTGCCTGTAGTTCCAACTACTTGGAAGGCTGGGGTGGAAGGATCAGAGCCCAGCAGGTTGATGCTGGGGTTGCAGTGGCATGCCACTGCACTCCAGCCTGAGGATGGAATGAGACTCCAACTTAAAAAAAAATGTCTTACTTTTGGGGAATCAGTGTAAAAGTTGTGCTTAAAAAAATACTTTACTGCTGAAAAAGACATATTAAATCCTAAAGTATTAAAGTTCTGAAATGGTCATTAATGCAATATCAGATAAATGTCTGAATAAAAATCTGACATTCCCCTAAAATCTTCTCACAAGACAATAAATACGTTTTGGGAAGTCCCCATTATGAGTTCTAGCTTTAGTTTGTAACCTAAAATTGTGATAAGAAAGGAACCTGGGGACTTGGTACGGTATTATTAAAACTGTTCTACTCTGCTAAGAACACAGATATTACTAACAAACTAACAAACCCACATCATTCAAATATTAAAACTTCAAACCAGTCTTATGACTATTTACAGGGCTGCTTTTAATGAAAGAGATATTAGAGCCAACTTATGAATCACCTCTTTTCATGACCAATTTTCAGTGATAGAAGTTACTACTTACAGACAATATCTGTTGTAATTTAATTCTACAAGAGCAAAAGACAATATTCACTGCAGGTAGAAAACAAAAAGAAATTTAGCTAATGGCTAAATTTCACTGATCAGAAAAGAAAAAAAGAATACAAAGATCACTGTTCCTCTAAAACTGTACATTAAATAATTTCTCTACCCATTCTGTATCCAGCTGAGAATATAACTGGTTACAGAGAGTGCTTTCAAATGCTTTGGAATCATGGTTTAACAACGAGATACCCAGATACGCCCTATGTCTGACAAAAAATCAAGTTACTTCTCTATATTCAAGAACTTTTTTAAAAACTTAGTGTTTGAGCTCCATAAACTGTTCCTAATTCTCTGAATATCAGAAACATTTTTGGGTATTTTGAAAGACTGTCCTGATATTGTATCAATAGTTTAACTATTTAATGATATTTGCACAAAACAGCATCATAGTTGAACTAACATAAGAGAATACATTTTAAAGGATAAAAAGTTAAAACAGGAAAACACAAGAATGAAAACTATTTTTAAAATTGTTTAGATTTTAGATAGTACAAAGTGTCACAGCAAAAGCTAATCCTAAAAATAAGTTAAAACATTATTAACTCTGAATTTAAGAAAGCAGGTATTTTAAATCCTTCACAGTCTTTTAAAAAACTACAATCCCACGCCTTTGGGAGGCTGAGGTGAGTGGATTGCCTGAGCCCGCGGGTTCGAGACCCACCTGGGCAGCGAGACCTCATCTCTACAATAAATCAAAAAATCAGCCGGGCATGGTAGCGCATGCCTGTAATTCCAGCTACTGGGAAGGCTGAGGCGGAAGGATCGCCGGAGCCCAGCAGGTCGAGGCTGCGGTGGCCGGGAGCGGCCACTGCAGTCCAGTCTGGGCAACAGAGTGAGACTCCATCTCAAAAAAAAAAACTACAACTATAAGGTTTTTTTTCCCCCTCCAGATTTAAGAGCCAGAGGAAAGAGTTAACAGACAGCTTGGAAACCTTAGCCTCATATATAAATCAAAAATATAATACCTAAAATTCCAGATTTCCAATCCTGAAAGTTAAATGCAGCTAATAACTTTCCTAGTACAAGTTAGAGTAAATGTTTTTATAGAGGTCCTTAGCATATACCTGATTATCCTTTAGAGATATTAGATAGATAAATCTAGTCCCAATGTAGTACTTAGTAACTTAGTATCTCTATCAGATAACTATTGATGAGGATGTCAGTTACAGTCACTTTTGCTACAGATATAACACAACAACCATTCTAGAGAAAAGATGAGCCAAAATATGCAAGGCAATTAATTTTTTCTAAATGTCCTGAATCAATTTTTTTTTTTTTTTTTTTGAATCAAGGTTTTACTCTGCCCAGGCTGGAGTGCAGTGGTACCACCATGGCTCACCTTAGCCACAGCTTCCTTTTAACTCAGCCTCCTGAGTAGCTGGAACTACAGGTGCATGCCACCATGCCTGGGTAATTTTAAAAAATTTTTTGTAGATACGAGATTTTGCTATGCTGCTCAAGCTGGTCTTGAACTCCTGGGCTCCAGGGATACTGCTGCTTTGGCCTCACAAAGTGCTGAGATTGCAGGTGTGATGCACCACGCCTGGCCTAAAGTTGTTGTTTTAAAACTCAGTTGGCAACCAAATCCTGATCTGAACACATGAGGTTATTTAGAGACTGTTTGTCAAACTTAATGTGAATATTCATATGTTTCATTGCAGAAATACTAACGTTTGATTATACTGTACCACTCCAGGCCTTGGAGGAATGGGAAACAATATATAATATTTAACCCCTTTTACATACCTAAAATTCAAAAATTATAAACCTCAGAATAAATTTGGCCTCCATGGGTTTCAGATAGAGGACTGTAAACCTGTTGTTCATTGTTGTTGTTTTTAATATAGAGACAGGGTCTCGCTATGTTGCCCAGGCTGGTCTCAAGTGATCCTCCTGCCTTAGTCTCCCAAAAGCTGGGATTACAGGTGTGAGTCACTGCACCTGTCCTGAACCCATATTTTCTATGTCTTATATTTTCATAAACTCACTGTTGTCCTGCCTTAAATAGGATTTTACCTTTTATCTTTTATGGCAGAGTTTTATAATTTAGTTTCTAAGACCATTGTAAAATTTTTAAAAAATAACTTCCCAGGCTACTTTATGTAAGTGCCCAATGCATACAAGGTATGTATTTATATGTATGTTAAATATAAACACAAAATGAATCTGCTTTAATAGACTACTTATATGCTATGCAAATAAACTAATTAAACAATTGACATACTAAATTTATACAATAAAATGGTTTCTTTGCATTAATTTCTCTAGTAGCTAGTGAATTCATTCTAAAAAAAGGAGATAAGCGTAGTAAAAGTACTTTAAGAATCAGGTAGCTTGTACTTAAGTGGTAGTAAAAATTCCCTACCTAAATTACTTACCCCATTTCCTGTTTTACCAGCAACCATGCAGCATGCTGTAGGCAATTTAGTCACACCCAGAAAGAAGAGAAAAGGGGGGGAAATATTCAGTGAAATTTAAGTCCCAATATCATTACTGAAGTACTTAACTAATTTGCTAACCAAACTCCCCCTTTTAGGAGAATTAATGCTCAGAAATCTGGCAATGACCTCAGTCTAACTTAAAATCAGAAATGAGGTAAGATTTCACTTTGCAATGCTGGCTTGATGTGGCCTAGAAATTCAACAGGGGTGTCCCCCTGCTCCCTACACATGTCTATTTCTCATTAATGAGGTGTAAGTGTCTCTTAACATGGATAGCTTGCATTTAAAATATCTTATTTGTTCATGCGGGAAAGCCCAAAGTGACTGAGTACATAGTACCCAAAACAGAACTGAAGGCTCCAGTTTTTGTTTTTGTCTTTTTAAATTAGGGATAACATGTGTTAAACTGTCTAGTTAATGATATCTATACTTCAATGTTTAGAAGTAAAATGTAGTAATATCTACAACTCACTTTGAAATACAAAAACAACTAACATGATGGATAAACAGATGATGTATATAATAAGGCAAATGTAGAAAATATTAACAATCATAGAATCAAAGTGGGTATATGAGGGTTCATTGACAATTCTTTCAACTTTTCTGTATGTTTGAAAATTCCCATAATAAAATGTTAGGGAAAACATTCTGGGAAGGAATAAACAACTGAAAAAAATTGCTAAAAATGAAGACAACAAACGTTCACAACCATGACTGTTATAAGTGTTAAATAAAATGTATGTAAGATGTTTTGCCCAGTAAGTGCAAGACACTAAGATTTCTTTTTCTTTTCTTTTCTTTTTTTTTTTTTATTTGAAAGCAGAATTTATTGAGAAGACAGAAATGTTCCCACAGTGGGAGGGGACCCCAGGGGGTTGCCCGATTTCTCAATTTTCCACTAGGCTCCCACAGTTTTCACCTTAAAGAAAGGTAACGACATGTCCTGCCAAGGTATATGGCATTTTGCAAACATGATAGGTACATATATAAGACAATCACATACCATATGTAGTCTCTGCTTCTACAAGGCACAAAAATGACCAGTCATTATCACTCACACCCACTTCAAGACATGCCTTACTTTATGTGTATGGGTAGAGTCCTCTCCTTCTAAACTAACAGAACTTCCTTTAAATGGCAAGCAGAGCCCTAGTGACTTCTAAAGACTGATGATCATTCAGAAACATTAGGCGTATTAATTCTTTCAGACTTGAGCCAAGTAGAAGAAATTAATCACTAGCTAGATAAGAACCATTCCCAGTGCCTGAATGTCTCACCAGTATCTTCTGACTTGTTAGTTTGTTTACTCTGCTAGCCCAATCTAATAACATTTGTGGAAGGACTACAAGACCACTTCTTTCTTTTCTTTCATTTATTCAAGCCCTATTTCATCGTGCACAGGCATGGAATTATACACAAATTACTAAGACTCAGAAAACCTGGCTTTAAGCCTTACTTAATTTCTGGGACTCAATTTTCTAATGTATAAAATGAGTGAGTTCGACTAAGATGATTGTCCTTTAAACATTTCTGGATGACTAAAGGTTATTGTTAATAAACTATTTTGTAAAGAAGGCTATTGAGACTTAGAGGACTTAGAGATCATAGAAAAAAATGAATAATGGCCTCGTTAAGCTGAAGCCTTATATTCAATTCTGTTCCACTCTTTCTTCAACCTCATACTTTAAGAGACTGATAAACAAAGTTCTCTGTATATACAGGAATATTAATACTCCCCTTGCAGGGTTAATGAAATTGTGTTTGTAAAGAACCAAGTAAGATTCCTGCATAAACTGAACAAAAAGTATTATTGTTGTTGAATTGAAACCTTGCCTGGAATTTACAAATAATAATATTCAGATTTATCCCTTAAAATGTTTACAGGACTTGATCCCATTCCCTCATATTCCCAAATTGTTCTGCTAAACTGTTCTGGAACTTCCCTTCTCAATGAGATCTGAGCTATAGAGAACTATCTGTCTCTTCTTTATGGGACCTCAGATTCTGTCTTTTCCTAGTGATCTTTGTGTCTCTTCTTTTGAGGCAACCTGTTCCCTACAGTCATTTTCAGGTGATGCCAACAAGTCTGCAATGTATTCTGCCATCCTCTGATTATAAAGTAGAGCAGAACTGCAGGTTGCCAAGGGAAACCAGATAACCATGTGTAACATGTGAAATTAAATCAAATGTCTTCAGTACCTGAGACTTGCTCAAGGGTTTTTCCTTCCTAATTCTCTGCAGGCTCCCTGCTCAAGCACGCCAGCAGGTTGGACAGGACTAATCACACAGCAGGGGCTAAAAGGCTGAATCCCAAAGAAGTCAGTATTGCTCAATCATTCAGTCTTTACCACATGCTAATAATGCCCTGGACCTGCTTCTGGCAAGGAAAAAGAAGTATATTTCTCCCTTTCAGGTCACCAAGATAATTTTAATAAATGTTCTGTTCTGTAGTCAATGGAGAAAAAAATCCATTCTCTAGAGTAAGCAATTAAATTCTTCCTCCCCAGTAGAACCACATGGCATTAAAGTTACCAAGTTCAATCAAATCTGATACCAGAGGCAGTATATCACCTGAAAATTCAGGACCCACACAATTTAATACTGGGCTATGCTTTAACTTTATTCAGGAATGTTAGGCAAGTCCTGAATGGGGTAGCTGAGTAAGTGCTTGCCAAAGTACTTGTGTACTCTGGTAACACACACATACAAACATACACACATCCCCCCCTCCCACAGACCAACAAAGGTCTATGCCTGGGAATGACTTCTGATCTTAGAATTCTCAGCTAGAGGTTAATCCAGCACCGAACAATGAGAGTGGGTGGCCAGAGATTGAGATTAATTCAAGCAGAGGTGGCAGAGGAAGAACAGAGTGAGCAAGAGAGTTAAACATGGCATGTTGGGAACTATAATTCAGTAAAACTAGAGCTGAAGACATGTATGTGTGTGCATACACGAGGGCAGGAATTCAGTGATTAGAGAATTCCTGTCAGAAGGTGTTGGGTGCCAAGCTAGGACATGAACCCAAAAACTGAAACTGTAACATAAGTGACACATTTACGTATATACAGTCTCATGGGGACACAGAGAAGGAACATTTGATCTTTGAATCTTCTCTAACTCATCAAGTCGCAATGTAACCATCATTTTCATACTATTGTTTTTCTTTTGGTTTGTTTTTTTTTTTGAGTTGGAGTCTCACTCTGTCACCCAGACTGGACTGCAATGGCCATTCCCGGCCACCGCAGCCTCAACCTGCTGGGCTCCAGCGATCCTTCCGCCTCAGCCTTCCAAGTAGCTGGAACTACAGGCATGCACTACCATGCCTGGCTAATTTTTTGATTTATTGTAGAGATGAGGTCTCGCCTGCCCAGTTTTTCTTATGTGGTAGTTTAAGAGGGAAATATTTTTTGTATCAAAACACTTTCTTTATTATGGGCAAATATAGTGTGAGCAAGTCATATGTTCCAGAAAAACGAGAAAATGTGTCCAGCCCACTTTTGTCATTTTTTGTTGCCTATCTGGCCCATCTGAACATGTAATTCCTGATAGAAGGAAACAAACACCAGATCAGTGGGCAGACTCTGTTTCTAAATACTGTGTGATCACTAGCAAGGTGGCTTATCTCTCTGGGCCATGGTTGCTCAACCATAAGATAAAGGGATTCAACACTGTTACTTAAGGGTTACTGCCTGCGTGGTAAGAACTTCACTGAGAATGCAGAGATGAGAAATCAGTCTCTCCAAGAGCAAACCTATAAACTAAGAGAACAAAGAGAGAAGTAAAATTATAATAAACCTTAACAGTATTACTAGTTAGCAACATTAATGAAAATAAAATACAGAGTAGTAGGGGCTGTGACAAAGACATACTTACAGGGGACCATGTAAAGGATCCTCAGCTCTTGAAAGAGAAGCAACACCTAGTCTGAGCTGTGAAGGATCAGTTACTTAGAATTAATTGGGTAAATAAATGGGGAAAATATCTTCCAAACAGAGGAAACCCTAAAGTGCAAAGGCCAGAGAGCACTAGGAAGGTTCTGGGAATTATACGTCAGTGGTCCCTAAAGAGCCAAGGTGTGTGTGACTGGGAAACACAAAGGAGAAAGCAGAACTTAGGTCATAGTATTATTGACCCATTCTAGGGGGTTTAGATTTTACACTTAAGGCAATATGGTGTCAGAGAAGGACTTTAAGTGATGAAGTGGCATGATCATATTTGTCTTCAGGAATGGCCACTCTGCTTGCACTGTGAATTAGAGGAAGAAGAAGGGATTCAAGGAAAATGTAGACATTTGGTAAACTAAAGCAGCAATTCAAACAAGAAATGATATAAGATGGCAGTGCTAGTGAGGATAAAGAGCAGGCAATGCCAAGAGATAGCGAGAACACAGATTGGGAGGACATGACGACTAGCAGTGATGGTGGGCCTCCTCAGTGACTATCAATGCCCTTTAAACTCTAGTGTTTTTAAACCTATGCATCTCTTGGACTCACTCGTACTAACAAAGATAACACAAATATATACTTGTACCAATAGGGAAAGGGCAATATTTGTGTGGGCAGTCGGAAACATTTAGGAGGACGCCCTGCTCCCTGCTCCTCTCCCAACACACACAAATACATGCATATACACATTTATGTATTTTTCTTGCACACTAATAGTCGGTTAGGAACTGGGCTCAATAAGGAAGGTAGTAACAAAGAAACTCTTTTTTCTTCTCTCCACTTATAAGAACTGCCTAAGATTTCCTCCTTCTCCTTCTTCTCCCCACGCCCAGGTTGCCATAATCTTAAACATCTGCCCCATCAGAGCCTGCTCCTCACCTTGTGCCAGGGTTACAGCAGTCTGCTACAACCTTGAACATCTGCCTCACCAGCGTCTGCTCTTTACCTTGTGTCTCTGGTGTGGTTGCAAAAAGAGGAAGGTAAAAGAGGAAGGGAGAATACTCTCCTCCTAAGCATTGCTTGAC